GGTGCTTGCCATCATGTCTTCCGGCCTTCCCTTCCCTAGTCTTTTTGTAATACTTGAACAAGTTTTCAAATTTTTCCTTGCATGTTTCCCCACTCCTTCGGTATCCATGTTCTTCAGACATGATCCTACAACAAAAAGGAAAAATTAAGGAAATGATAATGAATTAAAGTCTAAATATTAACGAAAATTAGTATGAATAGATATGAACCCTAATTAAAATGTGAACTTTGCCAATGTTATGGGAAAAACTGTGTTTCCCTTGCCGAGCATTGTGCAGTTTGACCCTAGTAAAACAAGCATATAGCATGTTATTTGACCATCCAAAATTGCAGACAACGATGTGTCTTTGCCAAGGGACTGATAAAACGTCTTTTCACTGATAAAATTAGCAGGTGTAAAAACATTCAAAAGGTTCGTCATTTTTTGGTAGTAAAAAAAAACCAGTAACAACAACCTGCATAATAATGGAGACAACACATTTTCAAAGGCAAAATAAGTCGGTGCAAGACTATTGAAATGATCAACCTTCCTGAACTTATTCATAGTGTAGTTCTTTTTCTTAAAAATAATATTAACATCAAGAAACAAAATGGTGTCTTGTTTCTTTAACATGAATTAAGGCTTACATTTCTCTGTTGAAAATCATGTAATGGATGGACATGGAACGCAAAGCTTACTCCATGTTACTGGTTTTCTTTAGCTAGAAACCATGTAATAAGAAGAACGAATAACCCCATTTCGTATCAGTATAGTAGAAAAAACGAATTGTTGAATTAGGGTATATGGTAGTATATGAGTGTATACGTACCTGGAAACTTCCTCCCACAAAGGACCCTTTTGATTAGCTTCTTTAAACATGGGATCAAGACGAGATCTGATCTCAAGAAGTGTTAAAGCCTCTTGCCTAGGCCACTTCTCAGTAGCTTCACCAACAAACCCACAAGTGGCACTTGGGGTTGAAGCAGCAGTAACAGTAGCAATGACGTTATTAGCAGTAGAATCTGAAGGGAACTCTTGATGAAGCCCACAAGACATCAACTGATCAGCACCAATTTGTGTACCCACTATTTGCATCGCATCAATGTGATAGTGATGGGATTGCTGTGGTGGTTGCAGATCCCGGTGGCAGGAGGAGAATAACTGTGGAGGAATGTGTGGAAGTGGAATTGCTTGGAAATTGATTGGCCTTCCACTGAGCAGTTCATCAGGCATGCCATATTGACGGCGATGGTGATGATCCTCCATTTCCACTGAGCTAGGACCGTTTTGTTGCTGCTACAGATATTTTTCCTTTTAATTGCTCTCAAGTAACCTAAGTTAAGCAAGAGAGAACCTTTTGTTACCTATGTTTATGCTTCATTGCAGTTCTTTCTAGAGTGATACTATGGGACGTGCGCGAGAGAGAGAGAGAAGGTAATTAATGAGGGACACATCACACATGGTTGAAGGCAAGGCGACAAAACAATATTGCAGGAGAGAAGAGAGTAGCTCAGTTGCTGATGGTGAGTGAACCAGTGAACTCATGGCATGTTCATTTGTCCATTAGGCTAGGCCTTGGCCCAAACTATTCATCTGTATTAAATCATTCTTAGGCTGACTTGAATTATTGCACCAGACAGGATCAACGTCACTGGAGAAGATCACCAACAGGGAGTGATGTCCATGGAAAGAGTAAAAGTGTAGCCTTGTTTGGGTTTGAACGTAAACGATGAAGGTGGCAGTACTGCCCGCCCCATGTGATTACAAAAGATTGATGGTGATGTATGCAGAGCAGGCAAAGAACTGTAGCCATTTTCTACTGCATAGTACTTCATCCCTGATCCCCTCCCCTTTCAATTTAATGCTACATTGCTGCTTCAGTGTAGCTCAGATTTTTGGGGAACTGCAAACCAGCCAAAGACAACACTTTCAGTATCTAAACGTTAAACGTATTAAAATTTGTATTCCAAGTTGGCATAGTACTAAGTTACTAACAGATACGATTCATTGTTTCTTTTCTCTTTAGTGTGTTCAAACCATTGTCTAAATTTCCTTAATATTAACTATTTAAGTCTGATTAAAATTAATAAATGGACAATTGGATTTGGAGACAAGAACCGAACAGTAGAATCTCACTGATTTATCTGGGAGAGTGTGCCTTAAGATCTGATAGCTTGCTTTTCAAGTGGCAGATTGATCCATCCATGCACATGCATGCGTGCGCCTATCCTATATATAATGATATATACAAAGTAATTCAAGAAACAATAGATAAAAGGATAGGCATGAATGGCAACGGCTCATAATTTTTTATTATCTACTCATTATATTGTAAAATTATATTTTTATCATAATTTGAGAAGTTCTGTATTTTTATATTTTATAGTTTGAGTAATTGTATAGTATTAATTTTTAGTTCAATAATATCAATAGTTAATAATTAATAATTAACATTATAAAAAAAAGTAGAATATGCGAAGGTATAAAAACATTCTTTCAACCTCTCTTCAAAATTCACCTCTCAAATTAAATCTCAAAAGTCAAAAGTTATAGAGGCCACAAAAATATTACATCAATCTTAAATAATTATCTCTCGTAATTCTAAAGGCTAAAACATATTTTCTATTTATATAATCAAATACTTGGTAAAAAAGAATCATTATTCGATAAGAATTTTTAACTAGATAAACTTAATAACCAAGTAATCTACAACCAATAGAATCATAACAAAAATGTAACTTAATTTCTAATTAGAATATGAGTCGATATCTAACGGTATCTCCCTTGACATTTATTACATTAGAGAATTGATCTTAAAATCCTCAACAACTTTAATTTTTATGTAAGTCAAATATTCCTTGAAGCTTTGTCATCAAGTTTCAACAACTTCAATTCTTACTATCAGAGCAGACACATTATTTTGATCATGATAATGGTGTTCTTGGAGTATGGAATTTATAAAATTTGAGTTGGTGTATATTTAAGAAGAAATCTAATTTAGCGTGATAATTTAGATTTAAAAGAGTACATATATTCTAATGAAGATGAAGCTATGAAAATTTGTAAGGACTCTTTCATTGTGATGAATTGTTAAAGAGAGGTTGTCACATTTTATATTTTACAAAGTTTAATAATTTCGAAGATGAAGTTATTTTCTCCTTCTTGCCAGATGATGACGTTATCGATAAACATGTATTGGCTGAATCAAGAAAATGAGGATTTTATGTTAAACAAGACAATTGTGGGCAAAACAATTATAAGAAGTATAAAATAATTTAATTTGTGAGCATAAAGGATTTGAGAAGCAAAAGATAGTTCAAATTCGTAAGTGTAACGATTTGAGAAGCATAAAAGAATTCAATTTGCCATATGAATTAATAACACCAAGAATAATTCAAAGTGTTCTACTGTTGGGAACAGGCATAGAAAAAAATCAAATCTCCATAGAGAATCGTGCTATGCATAATGTTACTTGCTCTTGGGCTTTAAGGGATTTCATGGAAGGAGTGGATAATATTTTCTCAGAGTGAACTTATTCGTGCATATAATGAATTAAATTTTTTAAGGATTTTTATATAATTGTATGAGTTAATTATAATGTAGTATTGTTCAGAATTTTCTTAATCAATTTACAACGCATACAAAATCCTACAAACAAAATTGTTCAAACTAGGGATGGCAAACGGACGGGCGGATCGGGTGCGGATACCCCTCCCCCATCCCCATACCCACCTACTATTTTTCAATCCACCACCCGCCCACCACCTATGATGGGTACAAATTTTCAAATCCACACCCGCTCACACGGGTACATTTTCAAATTCATCCCCACACCCACTACCCACTAGCGACATACACATCTAGACCTGCCTGACAACAAACTAATGAGATGTTGGAGTTGGTTCTCAGACAGTTCGTGATGGGGTAACAGCGCATGCTTCAATTTGTCAGAGGAGTGGCTCTACGAATGTTATGGAGACAGATTATAGGGAACATGTAGTCGCGGAGCTGGATTGTTGTGTTGCTTTCGATGTTAATACTCATAGTGCGCCTAATATGGGTTTTGAGGGGCTAAAGAACATGGAAACTGCTGCTTTTGATGTTAATGTTTATAGTACGGCTAATTTGTGTTTGGATGGACAGCATGAGCTAAAGAACATGGAAAGTGATGTGGTTAGTGGGATTATGGGTTTAATTAAATAGCCGAATATTTCCCTAATTAAATATCAGATTAAAGACTAAATATCCTTAATATTTAGTTAAATTATATGTTATATATTATATAATATTAAAATTTATAAATTAGTCTCTAAAATTACACCTAAATTCATAATAGTCCAAAATTTAATAGATATTAGCTGGGCGGGCGGATGTGGGGCGGGCGGATGCGGGGCGGGTAATGTCTCAAACCCATTACCCGCCCACTACCCACGACGGGTACCACTTTATAAATCCACACCCCCACTACCCGCTAAAATTATACCTATCCCCGCTTCAATTGGAGCGGATGCGGTGCGGAATCCACGAAACTGTACCCGCTTGCCATCCCTAGTTCAAACTTAGGACCTCTAGGGATCTTATACATTTTTTTGAACCATTCTTACCTAGGGGATGGGGAAGGAAAAATTTTGCTCTTAATAAGTATTGAACTCACAACCTAGAGAAAAAAAAAGTGTTATCCGATAACTTTTAACTACATGCTCTAAAGATTATTAACAATCTTATACATGTAAACTGTGATGATCAGTGTATTGGATATTAATGGATGAAAAAGTAATGTACTAGATCTTAAGGCGAAATACATTTATCACCCTCCAACTTGAGGGAGTGTAGAAATGATAGTCAAATTAAGCTTTTCAATTACTATCCCTGATTTAAACGATAGTCAAAGTAAGAAGACTGGAGAGGGGTAAAACTAAAAAATGAGACGGCTAAAATCTGGTCTACAATGTTGTGTTTTAGATAGATTGATGTAGAAAATTATGTTACTATTATTATATGAAGAGCTAGAAATTGTACATATATCTCATTAATGCCACCATCCAGAGACCATTAAACCCTCTCTACATTCATAATACCCTGCTTTCAGCGTTACATCTTTCTAAGTAGTGCTATTACTCAAAGAGCAATTCAGACTGTGCTCAAATGAAAGCACATCATCTTAACAACTTCAAAGTTTGTTCCCGATCAAGCTCCGGTTAACGAAACTAGTTCTTCCGATAGTTCTTTCATCAGTAATCTGAAGATGGTGTGTTCAACTTCTAATGCCGTCTCTCTTATTTGCACTTGATGTCTTTTCCAGCAATCAGGCTCTTTTCTCAAATCTTGTTCCACCATCATGTCGATGGTGTTTGATTCCACCTCCTTCCATGACTCCAGCCTCTTGCAAACCCTTTTAATTACCGCTTCTCTATCGATGTAGCCGCTTTGTTCTGTCTCTTCCTCGGCAATGAGGTCGGTTACTAGCCTTTTCATTCCTCTAGGGACATGTCTCAGACTGTGGAAGCTTGAATTAAGAACTTGGAGAAAGCCATCAACATTCATTTCAGCATCGGATGAAACAGACTCCTTCCCGGATTCCGCTTCTTCTACGTTGCAAATTCCATCGTAACCATTATCGTCATCTTTATCTTGTTCTAACATTCTCTTCTCTAGCTCAACCGGATCCAATCCAGCCAGTTTCTCGAAGCTGCAAAGTTTCTGCAGTAGCTGCTGCTTTGCTCCTGGTGATAAAACAATGATAACCAAAGACGATATCAATATATATATTGTAAATTAGCCCTCTGGCATAAAATCTTGTATCATCGAATGTTAGACAACATTAATCAATGTCTTGAATCGATCAAAAGCATCAAATTTTCAAAATAAACTGTGAAAAATCCAACAAACCCAAGAGTAAAAAAGTACAAACACAATTAAGGAACATCTCCTAACTTTGAAAATGTGGGTCACACACATGATGTTATGACAAACAGACATTGATGTCTGCTTCATCAACTGCTCATTTAGCTTAAACACACACGCATACATCATCACCTTGTTTCAGATGCTTATCTTTATCAACTAAATGAAACCATGCATTGAATATGGAATGTAGAGAAGCTGACAGATAAAGACCACACAAAAGCAAAAGGAAAGGGTACAAGTGATTCAGAAAACATACTTTGTACGACTGCATAGCTGCATTCAAGATCAAAACCATCGTTCTCATCACAGTCATTCACATGTTTATTATCGTCTTCGTCCTCGAACGAAGGGTCCAGCACAGATACTGGACTGCATTGTTCTTTCTCTTCATCATCATCCTCTTCTACTTGTAGTTTTTTCAAGCTCTCTACTTCATAATTTGCCTCGTCCTGTCTCAATCCATTCCAACAAGACATATTTTTTCAGACAATGTTCTTCAATGGGGTAGTTATTAAAAATTCCATAGGTTTAATGGTGAAGAATTCGAATTAGAGCTATTAATACATACAACTGATGATTGGTTGTTGACTTTTCTTATAAAAAATTTGAGCAAAAAGAAAAGGTTTGCTGAATTTAGTAATTTAGAGACAGTTGTCTGATTTTGGTGATGGGATCCAACAGAAAAAAACAAAACAAAATTGTCCCTTGCGGTAAATTACTTACTGGACAGAACCTTATGTTAAAAGAAATGCATTGCAGAAATGCGATAAAAAATGTATGACATTTATAACCATTAAAACCAGTCAAACCTTCCAACAAAAAGACTCCAAGAGTAATTGTCAATTCAGATCCAATTCCGGCAAAATATTTTGCAGGAAAATTGATTACATTTGCCGACAGTTCAAGCATGTCAGAGAACTCAGTCACCTGAGTCACGAGTTTACTCAAATAATTTATCTTATAAATGATATGGAAAAAAGAATCGATATGTATCCTTTTACTTGGTTGGAATACATGCTAGAAAGAGTCTATGAAATAAATTTTCCTGAAGAGGCTTTAAAACAGACGATATTTACAGGTTTAATTAATCAAATTATTACTAATGTTTCTTTAAATGTTCTAACCTGTTTTTGGTGGCGAGCCGGGGATGTCTCCGGGGAAGAAACGAGGGGTGTCCTGAGACCAAAAGAAGGGCTTCTTTGAAGCACGAAATGAAAAGGACTCTCACAAGAAGAAAAGGCTGAATTATTTCCTAAAACATCACCGGACATTAAAATTTCTTCGGAATCCTCGGATTGACTACAGCTACATGAAGTATCCAAGGATTTTTCTTCATTGCTTTCCGACCAAACAGCGCTGCTTGGCCTACCATTGTAAGAACACGAAAACCCCAATTCGTAACCACTTTTATCTTCCGATATCGAGGCCGGCGAAGACATTTTCCTTGACTTGGATTATTGTTTTTGGCCACGGTTGGATCCCACCTTAATATGTCCTTGACTGAAACTTTTGCTCCGTCGACGTTAGCTATTTCGCGCTTTCGGTTTCTATTCCGGTGGGTTAGCCTCTTCAGGATGGAACCGAAGAAGTCAAAACTAGTACCGCGGTTGTGTTTAGTTTTTGAAGAAGATTGTTTTTGAATCCTGAGAGCGGCTTCGAGAAGAAGAGCAGCCGTTTTAGCCGGGATGTGAAGGAAAATGGCGTTGGGACTTGTGCAAGGGCTTTTAGAAGGGGAAGCCAACTCGAAAAACGGAGACTTGCTGGAGAAAAAGCAAGCGTTTTTACAGAAATTTGAAGGGAAGTTCAAGTTTTGAGAGATGGGTTTTGGTTTCTTGATCCGGAGATGAGCCTGAGGCGATGGTTTGTTCAGTTGACAACGCCTATCAGCAATAAACTTGTTCAGAAGAAATGGCTCTTGATCCTCCTCAAGTAACTCGTGCAAATGCTTGTGAGACATCATCATCATCGATAATCCCTTATGAAAAAACTCAGCAACTTATGGATTTCAACGGTAGCATGAAAGAGTTGAAGAGGATTCAACTTTAAAGAAATGGAATGCAAAAAATGGAGATTTTGAAGGAAGAGCAAGCTGGCTTACAATTTACAAACGGAAATATAGAGAGATAAGGGAAGGAATGTGGAGAGTTCCTGATTCAAATCTGGAGAGTTTACAATATCGAGGCAAGTAATAAAATTATTATAAAATAATAACAGTCTTAAGATTTACACAGTGAAAAAAGAAATGGCTGCAAATTGCAGGTGTTTTTAAGTCCGTACTGAATATAGGAGAGGATCAGGTGCATCTTTCTCCGTTGTCTACTATTTTAAAACACAGATCAAATATTATTTTAAAACAATAAATTGAGTTGCTTTCAGCCAAAATTCTAAAAGATGTTACGCTATATATATTTAGTATTTATTAAAAAAAGTATCAATCTTTTAATAATAAACATTTATATTTTTACAAATATAATATTTAAATTTAGAATCTAAAGAAGTAATATTGGTACCTGTGTAAGGTAAAAAAAAATTAACTGATCGTTAAATTATATTAAAAATATTATTTATATTAATTTTTTAAAGTTAAATAATTGGCATTAAATTTTAATTTTTTTATAAAATAATTATGACATTTTAGCCTCCATTAAAGAGGTGAATTGATATATTAAATTAATAAAAATATTATTTGGCCACTTAATTGCAACCGAAATTTCATTTTTCATATTTTTTCAATATTTCTAAGTAATAATTCTAAAAAAATAAATTTTAATACAAATAATTCATAATTTATTTTTTAAATTACCAAAATATTTTTTTAAAATTATAACTCTATGAATGTGTTAATTCGTTAAATTATTTTATAAATGTTTTTTATTTGTTATAATTAAATTTATAAAATTTATAATTTTCAAGATCCAACAATTTTAATTATCAGAAATCGAAATCAATTTTTTATTAAACAATGTGATTCAATTATTTTACCTTTTGTTTAATAAGTTTAAATATATCGTAAGAATATATTTATATTTTCAAAAATAAATTGTGAAATCCAATATATTTAAAAACAATATTACTTAAAAATATTAAAATATATATAAAAATAAAATTTTAATCACGATTGTAGGACCAAATTATATTTTTTTATTAATTTATAATGTCACATTACCTCTTTACAATAGTTAACGATAGATGCTTATATTTTTAACAAAATCTAAAATTTATTGTTTATTTTATAACTTTTGAAAGTTCAATGACTAAAATGATCATTCTACTATAGTTTAATGATTATTTACAAATTTTACCTTACTTATACTGATACACATCAATATGTGACATACATTATAGACACGTATAGTAAGGTTATTTTTAAAATTGGATATAATACAATCTAAAAATAATAAAACTTTTAGGATGCAATAATATTTGATAAATTTTATAAGAATGCATCATCATTTTAGGGAATAAATGGTATTGTTAATATTATATTACATTTTAAAAAAAAATATCTTTTATAAGTTAAATGTAAAAAAAATAGTTTTTTGAAGAAAAAAAACATAATCATTCTCAATAATAATATTCCCCTAATCAAATATAATCTAAAGATTTACAAAAAAAAATAAAGAGATAGTGTTTAATTGTTTCACCATAAAATATTTATTTTTGTTGGGATGGTAATACACAATGGTTACTATGTTAATGTCCAAATATAATACTTTAATAAAATATCTTAAATGTTGGTTAAAAAATAATATATTATATTATAATTTAAACTTTAAACGAGACGAGACAGATTATTAGTTTTTTGAAAAAGAAAAAATAACCTCAGTGATCAAAAATACCTTATAATATACGATTTTAACCAATTTTTTTTGGATTTGCCAAAATGACCAACTAAATCGTAATGCGATCGATAATTCGCAACGCGATCTCTGGTATCGCAAATCAGTTTCCAGATTCGGAACACGAATTTCAACTATCGCAATGCGAATTTGAACTATCGCAAATTATTTAAAAAAGATAGATTGTAAATTATTTAAAATCAACTCGATCAAAGTTCAGTTAACTCTCAAATCGAATAAATATTTTCAAGATTTATTGTATGAGTCGCAATAGATCACACCAACACAAAAAGACTTTCCATGGACAAAGGGAAAAGTAGGCTAAAAATTGTGTGATTATCAGATCATACGATAATACGTTCACTTCCATGTTGCTACACGATTCGTAGGCCTTCACTTTAAAAATACATAATTTTAACTAACTCATCTCTTTCATATTTTCTTTTTAAATTAAAATGATTTATTTTTATACACGAGGATGGAAAACGATAATGTCTCACACTTATTCCTCAAACTTTTCCCTTCTACGAAATATGCTTAAATTTTATTTTATTTTTCTCACCCTTTTTTCCCATCTTTCAACCTTTTACCTATTTATATTTCATCAAAAGATAGTGGGGGAACACAAACCAAGTGATTTTAGTGTCTAAAGAGATGATTATTATTTTTAGAAGGTTTCGGGTTTGGGTACGTCGTCTTCAGGGGTGTTTAAGTATTCATTATCAAATAGATGTGAATCTTTCAAACATATACTACCTTGTAGCCATCTCAGTCTAATATAATAATAATAATAATAATAATAATAATAATAATAATAATAATAATAATAATAATAGAATTGTAGATAAATGATGAATGATAAAATTATGTCTGTAAAATACAAAATTTGATTTGAATGTCTGAGTCTAATTTGAGTGGAATTTGAATTTGAAATTTTTAAAAATAAAAAATCAAAACAATATCGTTTTCGTCGTTAGTTAAGTAATTATATCTTTTTATTTGGTTCATAATTATTGTTTCTTAAATTCTTCATTTGTTTTTGAACACATTTTTTACCAAATTTGAACTACATATTTTTCAATCACAAACAAAAAAAACCTTGTAACTTCAATTCATAATTTTGACAATAAATTTTCTGTTCTTACAATTTAACCATCAATTTTGAATCTTATTCAATTTAGTCTCTTTATTACTTTTTTTTTAAATTCTTCATTCTCACCAATTCATTGACTCTTTTATAATCTCATCAATACTTTTTCATATAAAAATTTATGAAAAAATATATATTATATATAGCTAGAAATAGTTGTTTAAATTGAAACCAAACAATAATATAACATTATAGATAATTATATTTAAAATTGAACAAAAAATTTAATGACTATATTTGATTCGATTATACTCAAATTAATCATTCTTAAATTTTGTCTCTGTGTAACCTAATCAAAGATATTGAACTTTACAGCTACACAAAAAAAAATCACATGAGTGCTACAACTTTGGGCATTCTTTTTCCTTTCCAACTAATCCACTAAAAAGGCAAAAGAAAATGCTACCAGTCATGTTGAAATGACTTAAACTACCTTACTACCTTAAGTGGAGTTTGGATTGGGGAATGTAGTATTCTCATGAGAATGAAAATTACATTATTTCGTTTGGTTAGTTCGAGAATCTCATTTTCGATAATGTAAGATTATCAATAGTAGATTTTTTGGGGTATATTACCGGGAATATCATTACCTCTCTTTCCTTAAATATTGTTGGATTACCGACGTTTTAGACAAAAATGTCGTTAATTTTTTTTTCTTTCAAAAATATCATTCTTTGTCATTGAATAATAAAAAGTCTAAGAAATTAATTACAAATTTATCCTTAAACTATTTTAGATTTACAAAAAAAATCTATAATTAAAATTTTATATGAAGTTTAGGGATTAAAATAAAATTTTACCCTTTTATTAATATTTTATATTTTAATTTATAAAAAATTATATAAATTTTATGAATTTAAAATTTTTAAAGAAAATATATAAATATTTTTCAACTTATTAAAAAAATATATATAATAAGGACAATTTGATCAAATATAAATTCTAATAATCTTTTATTCCTTTAACCAAACACGATAATCTTACATTCCTGCTAAGCTAACCAAACACAAAATATAACATTATCAGTAATTCATCCCGATAATCTTACATTCTTATTAATAATTTTATATTCCGTAAACTAAAAGCACTCTAATAATCAATCTTAAACAACTGTTTCTTAATTAATAAAGGCCATCGAAACAATAACGAAGTCGTTAAAGAAAAATAAAATAAGCGTTTGAGTATAAGCCACGTGTAGACAAGGTCATTTATGTGGACAGATGTTCGGCTTAGAAAGTGCGAGTTGTTGCTTTGTTCCTTACCTTGGGAGGTTATTAATTAAAGCTGGAAGCGTTGACCGTCTCAAAAATATCGTCACCCAGTCCTTAATCTCACGATAAAAAAGAGGAGATATTCTCGACAGCCGAGACGGATACAAAACGACAAAAAAAAAAACCCAGAAGAGCGCGCATGCTAAGTTACAGATTTCGGATCTTTGACGCTCCTCCTGTCCACTGCCTTTCATCCTAATTCCCCTTTTTACCTTTTATTTTTGTTTTTTTACTGCTCAATATATACATATTGGGTGAAGTACAAAAATGTTATCACAAC